TGGGTACATCCAGAAAAATTGGGTGGGAGTGTGCGGCCTGCGTCCCAAATTTCTCACCCTCTTTAAAACCAAAATAAGCGATTTTCCTTACCCTATTTCAAGACCTGACCAAAAATTCGATACCCTGTTTATGACCTGACCCTTTGATCAATTCCCTGTTTCAGATCTGCATTATAAATAGCTCCCTAGTTCAGACCAATGTTTAAGGCAATGTTTATATGCTTTTGTTAGGTAGGTTAGCTTCTTCTAAAAAACACACACAATTCGAGACTAGAGTGCAAAAACCATACCCTATTCGAGACTGTGAATATATAATACTAAACTTGTCATTTGTTGAGCAGATCGTGAGAGCATATTGAGATATGACCACTTCGAAAGGGGATTTAACCAAATGGATCAGAAGTCGAAGGGTGAGCTGAAGCAACCACTGTGTCGGTGTGACACCTAAATTGTTAATTCTCCTTTCCCATCCCGGCTTTCCAGAGAGCGAAGCGAAGGGGGGCAGTTAAACTTTTTATGTCATCATCCAATGGAATACTCTGGTGAAAACAATACCAAACATTCAGTTTGAGAATTCAACAGAAAAAGCATGACCTCGGTATCTCAACCAACCCACTGCTGCGCCCATGTATAGTAGCGACTAAAATACCGATTTTTCCTGTCCTATATCGCCTTTCCAGAGAGGGGAATGAAACTTTCTATGTGATAACCCAGTGCAAAACTCCCCTGAAAAAATACGAACAGTTTGAAAATTGAACAAAAACATCTCATACCTCAGAAATTTTACTCTTTGGAAGTCAATCTTAATCCTATGACGCGGTGATAACCAGGCTTTTACTGACTGGCTTTAGCTAGTACTTTAACGAGGTTCCTAGTTCAGGCCCACAGAACTATATTGTGATCTCTCCTGTATTCTTCTTTTTTTAGTACACATTCACCTCAACAAGAGAGAGATCGGAAGATAATTGTCCTAGCCTTCTCTCATTCTCGGAGTCTGGAAAGGAAAAGTAAATCGGAGAATCAAACGTCAAGAGAAGAGTTTAAGGGTTAAGTGGAACTTGGTTTTACCTAGCTGGTTTCATTCAAGAAAGCGTTTTCATAGAAAACCAATTAAAAGCAATTTTGACATTCGCAGCATTACATGGTGATGATGTCATTCTAACAGAGCCGCTGTACAAACTTTCACCGGACCGTCTCCTCGATCTGGGAGGACGTAAAAGCGCGCTAGGTTTAATTTTTTACTGTGTGCAAAAGTGATTAGTGAAGCAAAAATATTTCATCTTTTTATTTTCCAAAGGAAGAAACATCACTATAACCTTGGTATATTACTTCATTTCTGTAAACAGCTGTTGTTATGATTTCTTTCGTTAATAAGGATAATTAAAAACATTATCATTTTCATCTCTTGGTGCTCTTTTATTGTGAAAGTTTAAAGGGCGTCTATTTAACTAATTTTCGAAAGAAACACATTTCCCCACGAAAAGTGGCAAAGAATATTGATTTGAGTAATTTGGTCAATTAAGTGTTCATTTTTTCAGCGCTGATTAACTACTTTAAGGTGATTCCCTAGTAAAAGAACCCGCCATAGATTTCCGATGAAACTTGGTGTGTTGTTGTTACAGGACAAGGAGATATTAAAACCGCAATAAAAAGAGGTGGTCACCGTGTTTGTTTCCGCCACAATGCTGACAAATACGGTTATTTAGGTGACTTTTGGTAATCTCCGTACGCAGCAAATAAGCTCGATTATTTTTCAATGCAGCGTGTTATATCACACAGAGTTTGACCATCTTTGATTGATTATTTATCTACGTCCCCGCAAAAATGTCTTCAAATACGCTGCATTTTTTTTATCTTTTAAAGGAAACATAATTTGGACGTGCACTGTTCGGCCTGTCTCCCTCTGTAGTATTTATTTTCATTTGCCAAAAAAGTAGTCATAGATTTCTGCTAATTTTTTTCTCAGTTATTGAGGATATTGTTCTCATTGAAATTATGAAATAAAAAGTGGGGGTCACCGTGCTCGTTTAAGAG